GTTTTCGGTGTTTCACCGAGGTTGCGTGACTCTGTAAAGCTTTCCATCCTCTCGATCCGTATAGAATGACATCGTCACACACTGTACACAGAGCTTTATGGGCGACATCGAGCTTTTTCACGAAATCCGACACAATCACAATGGTTCCTCTTTACTGTTTCCGACTGGGGACACCCTCAGCTTTCTATCCAACCAGTCCCATCGAAACGTGTTTTTCAGATCCGCATCTATCTGACTCACTTTAGCTTCGTCGCGAGTCTCGATAACATTCCGCATTCGCGAGAAAGGGGTTTCGGAAGGCGAACACGGATTGGTTGTGATTTGCATTTGCCGAGATAGCGACCAATCACAACAAGCAAGACATTGGTTTTAGCCCGTATAGGAAGTAACGACAAACTAACGCTTCGCGATAAAAACAGGATTCAAAATGGATGCTTGCAAATGTTACTAGTAAACATTACGAGCCCCGAATCTGCCGAAGACAAGTCCGGAGCCCAGAATTTTTTTTACGGATTTGATACAATATAAAATAGGTCCATTTTGACTGGAAAAAAAGCGGAATCCCACCAAAACGCAGAAAAATCTTATCCCTGCAAATCTCACCTTGGGACAATTAAGAGCATTCAATTAACCAACCACGAATGTTTTTCGAATGTGGGAGGAAACCTCAGTACCCAGAGAAAACCCATGCAGCCATGGGGAGAACCTGCAAACTCCACACAGGAAGGCCCGGGTCCGGAATTGAATCCCTGACCTCTGGAATGTGAGGCGGACATGCTAACCAGTCAACCATGGTGCCACCCCACTTGGAATCAAAACTATAAAATTATCATAAGTCCCAAAAACAAAATACAAAAAAGCAAAATTGGAACAGACTCACGGCTATGCGTGCGGCAATACCAACATGTGTCAAGCGCATGAGTGAAGCCTCTGCTGGTGCTTGTTGCAAACAAAATTGTTGTTACCCTGAAATATTTTCAGAATATATCTTCAGTCACTGTCACTCTTTATATTATATGAAACTACGGTGTGCCAAGTGAGATGACTATACATCAGTAAATATGGTCGCGCTGTACCACCCCAAAAAAGGGTGCGACTAAGTCAGTGCTGCTGCGACCAACTGAAAAAGTTGGCTGCAGCAGTACTACAAAATGCAAATGTTAGTGAAGAGCCGTGCCAAAAGTCAATAAAAACAGAAATACAAATGTCCAGATTACAAACCCTGTCCATTGTGAATACCTTTGTGGTGACAAAGCCGGATACTAATAGTGTAGTTACCGTATTTTCTGGACTATAAGTCGCAGTTTTTTTCATAGTTTGGCCGGGGGTGCGACAATACTCTGGAGCGACTTATGTGTGAAATTATTAACACATGATTCTGTCATTTCACATGTTATTTTCACATTAAACCACAAGAGGTCGCTCTCGGCCTGTGTTGATAAATCGACGATGAGTCTGACGTAAGCGACGAAGAAGAGGAAACAGCGCATCGTCTACGTCTCGAGTTGGGGGAGTTGTTTAAAAGTGACACCGAGGATGAAGATTTCATTGGATTTAGTGATTTGGAGTGAAACTGATAGTTTGGTAAACTTGTTAGCATGTTCTTTATGCTAGAGTTATCTGAATAACTCTTAATATGTTACGTCGTTACTGACATTACCAGGCATGTCAGTCATGTAACGTTACTGCTGTATACCGTACACTTATTCAGCCTGTTGTTCTCTATTTTATTTTTATTTTAAATTGCTGTTCAAGATGACATGTATGTTTTTGGTGTTGAATTTTATCAAATAAATTTCCCCCAAAAATGCGAGATTATACTCCAGTGCGAATTATATATGTTTTTTTCCTTCTTAATTATGCATTTTTTGGCTGGTGAGCCTTATAATCCGAAAAATACGGTTCTCACATTTTATCACTTCAGAAATTAAGCAATTATCTTGTTACAAACGCATGAGCGCTTCAAATCCCCTGATAAGTAGCGGCCCAACTCACAGATGTTGGTGCCAGACATCAGAGGCAATGCATGTGCATTAAAAATGGGTTGTAACTTGGTCATTAAACAGCTGGTTATCATGAAGCTTTCTTTTATGTGACCACCAAAGCGTGTGGATCAATGCATTCGAAAAGATGTTTTGTTTGTTTTTGTGACAATCACGAACATGGAAAGTGGCAACATTTTGCCAGTACAAGCTTTTATGTCACCGTAGGCACAGGCGTGTCATATCAACTCATTTTACAAATCCAGGGTTCCCAGAATGCATTGTGTGGTGCAACACATTTAATTCAGCCGTCCATTCTCAAAACCGCTTACACTGTAGACTCCACACCCCCCGCGACCCTCTAAAGTGTAGAGGGTTGCAGGGGGTGTGGGAGCCTATCCCAACTGACTTTGGACTACACCCTGAACTGGTCGCCAATCATTCGCAGGGCACATAAAGAGACACACAACCATTCACACCCACATCGACACCGTCGCTAAGTGGGAACCAATCCCACGCTGCCCACTCACAAATCAGGTGAGTGTACCACTACACCATCAGCGACTGCACATATAATTAATGAAGTTATAAGGACGTTAATCCTGCCATACATTTGTGTTACCAGTAGTTTAATATGTTATATTTCACACATTTATGTTTGATTTATGTTACACAATGCTTATTTATTTATTTATTTTTTTTAAATGCAAACCAATTTGGGGCAACTATTTATTCTGCCGAGCCGTACTTATTTTTAGACTTCCCGTATTATCTTCTCGTTTGTGGGCTTGATCTGACCCGTGGGGCGTGGGTTTGACACCCTTGGATGAGGCAATTCAGAATTTTATTATGAGGCATAAGTCTTGCCAAACAGAAAGAGTTTCATAGAAAACGTTTTGAAAGTAGGTGATATGCT